AGACTGCCAGTGCTATAGCAGCCTGTACCAGAGAGGCCCTCTGGCTCTCTGAAAGCTCTATGGATTTTCCTTTCCATGCTGGTTATTTGCCATACTGGTTATTACCCTCACACACCACCTACAACCAGGGGCTCACCTCCACCCATTTCTTTGTGCTGGCACATCCTACAGATGCAAGACCTCCTGATCCTCCTCAGTGTTTACCTACCACTTCTGCTACTACAGCCACTGTGCACAGCTTGCTTTCTCCAGAGCCCAAGGATCAGGAAATGTCCATGTTCAGAGGTACCCAGGAGAATGGGCTGGCCCTCCTGGCACCCTGGTTTGACATATGAGAAGGCTGATCCACAGAGATGCAAGGTGACTGCCAAGGTCATTCAGTAAGGTCTCGACTGAGCTGAGACTCAAGTCCAGCCCTCTTGACTCCCAGGCCAGGGCTTCTCCCACTACCCCACAGTCTTCTCCTGATAGTACATGTATGGGCTCCCCAGGAACCTGCCACTTGCCAGCTTTCCTTACCCTCACCCCCACCCCACCCCTCAGTGCCCCAAGTAACCAGCACCAGGACGATTTTCCTAGAGGATGCCAATGGCTAGGTATATCCTTAGAGAAGCACGTGCACACGTGTACCAGGGATGCATGAAGGAATGTCCATGGAATGCTGCTTGTGACAGCCCTATATGACGGCAAGCAGTGGCATGGATTGATACATTGTGGATGGTTAGCTGGTGTCTCGAGGCTTTTTCAGGACTGTTTAAGGCAGTGGTGGGACAAGACCCCAAAAGCCCTAAGGTTGTGGCCCAGGTCTGTCTGTTGGGGGTCCCTGAATCCCCTTCTAGAACTTTGGAAGCTCCAATGTTGCTGAGCCCCACCTGCCCCCATCCAGCCTGCTGTGGACCTCAGACTTCTGGAGGGAGGATAAGAGTGGGGGTCAGTGCGGGGCAGCCTCAAGCACAGCCGACCTGTTCCTTGGGTTCCTGTTCACTGCAGCGCTGCCTGACACAGCGTCAGTGCTCCGAATGCACCTGCTGCATGGGTGGGCGAATTCCTTCATCCCATAGGTACAATCACTCAGTCTTCTCCCTTTTGTTCTCCCCGCTTGTCATTCTTCTGTCTGTGGAAGTCACCCCAGCTGTGAGAACTGGTCCAACCCTGAGAGGTCTCCAGGGAAGCCCAGTGGGAGATGGGGTTCCCTGCACAGCAAGGAGACTGAGACCTAGATGACACAGTGACTTGGGAAGATGACACAAGCCCTGGAGTCAGGCCACTGGGCAGTGAGCCGATTACATGGGTTGTAAAGTACTTGCAGAAGATAAAGTATACTAAATAAGGAAGAATTCTGCTCTTACTGTCCTGAGTTGTATACACACTGGATATTGGTTTAGCATCTGTGCTAAGGGGGTTGCACAGAAGAGGTGGGATTTCCGCTGCACTTTAGAGGGTGGAGCCGGTTTAGGGGTGTAGGTATGAATGGGAGTGAGGGAAAGGCATTCTAGGTTAAGGTATCTGAACAGAAGCTTGACAGCATGCAAGCAGGCACTTGCGACAGTATTAGCACGGAAGAATAAAGGGAGCCGAGGTGGGAGGGAGATGGAGGTTGGCTTCAGATCTCAAACGACCCCCAGTGTCACGTTAAGTAGTTTCTACAACGAAGTCCTATCTTACACAGGGGTTAGGTTCTAAAGAGTCTGAAAAGTGAAAATCACCTGGAGTCAAAATGACCCATGAATAATAATAAGCTCACACTTATTTAATACCCACTTTGTGCTAAGCTGCCCAAATTGCTTTACATAGGTTTCATTCATTCCTCATTACAACCCTGTGGTTTCGTCTTCATTCAGCCTTATGAGGTGGCTGCTATTATTATCCCCATTTTCCAGAGAAGGAAACTGAGGCACCGAAAGCCTGAGCAACTTCCCTAGGGGCACTTTGGCTGCAAGTTCAGGTTCTTATTCCCATGTTGGCCAACAGCATGGGATAGATGCTTGATGGCGGGGAGCCAGGAGAAGTTGCTGGCTTGTGGATAGAAAACTCATGTTGCAGAGAAACATGGACCTTCAAACACTCAGCATCTGAAGCAGCATTTCAGTAAGTTACATGGAGGCCTGAGCCGCCTCTGCTGAACTTGACCTGGGCAGCTGTGGGGAGCCCCAGGCAGTTTCTGAGCAGGGAGTGACATGGTTCAGGCAGGGTTCAGGAGGATAACTGCTGTGCATAGGATGGATGTGAGACCAGCAGAAGGAAAACCAGGAAAGAGGCACCTTCCGTGTGCCAGGCCTATGTTGGTGCGGCTTTGTTCTGAGTGGGGCCAACGGAAGGAAACAAGTGAGAAGGGAGTTGGGGGTGGCAGTCGATTTGTTGTGGGGGCGTTCAGTTTGGAACCTGGTCATGATGAAACAGAAATACGAAAGTCTGGGCCATTTGGGATGGATAAAGAATTCTGATGAGTTGGGGTCCCCGAGGGGCACCCCTGAAGAAGCGCACAGCAAGGGAACTGGAGATACCAGCATAGCCAGCTAGAAATGATTTCCACAGAAGCACTGCGAGGGGCCCTGTCTGACTCAACCCCCACCCTAATTCTGGGGTCCCTGACAGCCTCAGCACCTCCTTTACCCCTCCCTCCAGCACAGAATAACTAGCTGCCTGGCTACGTGTCATCAGCACTTGAAACAGCATTTTTTGAATGAGAAGAGAAATATTCTTTGAAATCATTTGGATAGTTATGCAGCTTCAAAAAATATGTGTTGGCAGAAAAATGAAAATGTTCCACCTCAGAGAGATAACCAAATAGATAATTTTGTAGCATCGAATCTTGTGTTGCTCAAGTATGAAAGCGTGAGCCTTGTGGAGGTGACTAAGTGAGGCTGAGGCATTTATTAAAATCAAATACTTCCAGAAATGCAAACATGGCTCTGGGTAATGACGCACCCGGGGACGCAGGTACATGATGCCAGATCCCGGCAAAGACAGTCATTCTAGAATGAAGCCCCTGGCAAACCCTGAGCTGTAAATGTGGTGACACAGACTGAAACGCGTGATCTCTGCTTTCCTATAGAGGTTAGGAAATTGTGATTTCTTCTGAGAGACAGGTGCTGCAAAATGTTATTGCCTTTTAATGAGGTTAAATTTAAGAGCCTTTTAATTGGCATCTGCCTCATCTTGGTTGATTGTTTTACTAAGACTCATCATTTTTGTCATGCACTAATTTATTCCCGGGATTCCTTGTTCTGTGAAGCTCATTTCAACAAATGTGTATTCACTGTGCGCTGTATCTGCGTAATGCTCTGCAGAGGATGAGAAGGTGAGAGGAAAAAGAGGGAGCTAATTATCGAGCTCTGGCGGTTGTCTCAGTTAGACTGTGTATTTCCCGGTATTTCTGTCTGGGCGGTCCTTTGGCCAGATCTTCCCATGCCCTGCTCCTTCTCTTTATTCTTGTCTCAGTTAAATGTCACTTCTTCTGAGAAGCCCTCCCTGACCATCACTAGTGAGGGTTGCCCCTGCCCCTGCCTTAGTTACCTGCTCTCTCATTACACTGTTTTATCTTCTTAAGAAAGTATCACTGCTTGATTCTCTCTCAGGTATTTGTCTGTGTTCACTGCTGTTCTCCCCATACTAGAGTGTAAGCCCTGAGTCTAAGCCCCAGAGGTCAAGGACTCTGTCTTGCTCACTGCTGTATCCTCAGACGTGGCTGGCATGTTCTGGGTACTGAGGAAATATTTGTTAAATGAACGATTGCATCTGATTTTCTCAACAGCTTTGGATAGGTGGTATTTTCACATTATTCATAGAAGGGGAAACTGAGGCTCCAAGAGCTGCAGTGGTTTGCCTGGATTCTTACAGCCAGCAAATCTTGAGTCTGTTGGCTACCCATGCCCTCTGAAACATGCCACCTGCCTCAGTGGGACCTAATCCCTGCTCTCAAGGAGCTCTCTACTCAGCCAGGAAGAGTGACACAAACAAATTAATAACTCTCACATAAGACACGTAGGATAGGCACCTGATAGAAGCAGCAGACACATGATCAGGGCTCAAGGGCAGGAGCAATTACATCAGTTGAGGACATGAGCAAAGGCTTTGTGGAGAGGCAGCTCTGAAATAAGACCTTGTAATATGGTGTTGATGGGAGAGGTTTTTGAGGCTAGGGGAATAGTGCCAGCAAAAACAGAGGTGAGAAATCGAAGAGAGTTTGCAGGGAACAATGAGTAGCCTGGCATGGCCACTCCTGGCATGGTAGGAGTTTTGATGAAGAGTCTCAAGAGGGACATCTAAAAGGGAGGTCAGCCACGGATCCCTCGGCAGGAATGGCCGGCTGCAGAGGGTGGGTTCATCCCATGTGACATTGGAATCCTGAAAGTTCTTGAATGGGAAGAGGTGTTCAGTATGGGAATGGAAAGGTGGGGGCAGCGTACAGGGCCAGGGAGAGGGATTCCTCAGTAAAGAAATGGCTATGTCATTGTCAATGTGGATTCCAGGGTTTTAAATCTCATTTCAGGGGACAGTAAAAACATATTAGAATAATCATGTCTTTGCTGCAAAGGACATGGTTCTGGCTGTGAAATCAAACCCGAGGCAGATATTAATTCATTCTTTTCTTCGTACCCCAAAAGGGCATTACCAAAAGGGTATACCCCCATTTTACAAAGCGGATCCCAAGAACAAGCTTCCTGGTGGGGATGGGTATAGTTAAGTTCAGAAGTGTTGGCCCAGCTTTGTGCTAGGCCTGAAGGGTAGTCAGCAGGAGGACACATGCTCCTCTAGTCAAGGTCACCGCTCATGGATCCTGGGGCAAGTCTGCAGATATTGACCAGTTGGGAGGAGATGGTCCAAGACAAGCACTAAAGCAAATGTCCTGAGACTGGAGATGAGGTGATTAGAGCACACTTCCTGGGACAGGTGGGGCTGGGCTGACAAGAGGATTTATGGGGGCAGAGAGGAGAGAAAAGGGGGTTCCAGACTACGGGAAGGGCGTGAGCCAAGTCCTGGTGGTGAGTCAGCTCGAGAACTGGCAGGTGGACCCGGTAGACATACAGCCGTTGGCCAGGCACTGGTACAGGGCTGGGTCAGATGCTGAGTGCAAGATGACACTTGGAGGTGTTTGTTTCAGCTTCCTGGGTTCATTCAGTCAGCCATCTGTGACTTCAAGAAGCCCAATTACTGCTCAGGGAAAGCATTTCTTACAGGGCTGGATTTCTTATTATGTCAGTCCCTGAACAATTGTTTGAGGAAGAGAAGAGGTTTTGTAAAAATCTAATTAGTCCATGACTGTGCAGCTCTGTTGTGCCTGGGGCACTGCCTTGATTGGGTAAGTGTAGTCTCTCTTGCTGTCAGCCTCAGCCCCCTCACACTCTGCCCTGCTCAGAAGTGGGCTCCAGGCTAATTGGGCTATCTGGTATCTCGTCACCCCTGGAGATGCCCACACGTACATGTGATCTCCTGCCCTGTGGCCAGTGCCTTAGCTGTGGCAAAGGTGCCACCAGGTCAGTCCCAAGGCTTCTCTCTGCCCAGCAAGTCAGACCAGGGAAATTTATTTTGAGATGTGCATTGGTCCTTACTGTGGATTGGGTATGGTGCCAGGCACTGGAGGGATTAGGGAGGTTGAGAGGTGAAAAAACACCATCCTCGCCAGCAAGCGACAAGTGTTTGCCTCCCTTTGAGCATGTACATATGACATTTATGGTTTTTGCCACTCTAGAGGATCAGTTCTACTCTAATTCATAGGTGGAATAACATGATCAACTCAAAGTCGGGCTGCCTTAGTTTGGAGCCTTGCTCTGTCATTTACTAGCTGTGTAACCTTGGGCAAGTTACTTGATCTTTCTGATCAAATTAAGTCTGATCTGCATTAAGTCTCAATTTTCTCATTTCTGAAAGGTTCTTACTTCTAGAGTTTGTTGTGGGGATGAAAACTGTATAATGCCCATCAATGTTTAGAATGGTGGCCAGCATTTACCCAGTGCTATAAAATATTAACTATGATTATTGTTACTGAACATTTTTCTTTAAATGAATTTGGCTTAAATAAAAATTTAAAAAAACTTTAGCATTACTATAAATGGAAAATTGATTTAATGTCTCATTAATATTTGATAGCCATAAAAATAAGTATGAAAACAAAACACTATTATGAAATCCTAGGGGGGGGTGTGTGTATGTGTGTATGGCTTGAATCTGCTTCCCCATTAAAAAGGGAGCAAAGCAAGGACTGGAGTTATGATGGCCAATTTGAAACTGAGAGTTTGAAATGGGACTTTCTTACTGTGTGGCTCATTGTCATTTGTACAGTGATCACCATCTAAGTCCTGCTTCTCAGAGTATGGTCTGAGGACCAGCAGCATCAGCATCACCAGGGAGTTGGTTAGAAATGCAAATTCCTTGGCTCTACCCCAGACCTGCTGAATCTGAACCTACATTCTAACAAGATCTCCAGGTGATTCATGATACAGTATAGTCGGAGAAGTCTGCTCTGTAGTCTCCTGTTTTGTGCATTCCATACTTGGAGAGTTCATTCCCTGTACTGCACACATGAGTTGCTTAATGCCCAAGAATGACCTGCTCCCCTGAGTCACTTGATGAGTTAAGGACAGCAGCAGCTCAGAATGTAGGTCTAAGACTAGCTCTGCAGGGCAACATTCCCCAGTGGAAGTCAAGCTCCATCCCTTCCTTACTTACTGTGTGACCTTGAGCAAATTCTTAATCTCTCTGGGCCTTAGTTTCCTTATCTGCAAAAGGGGACTGGTAATAATGCCCTCCCTCACAGGTTGTTGTCAGGATTAAAAGAGATAATGCTCAGTCAGTGTTGGCTACTGTTATCCTTGGAGAAAAACTGGGTTCCTGCCTAGACCTCTCCAAGGTCTGGCTCAGCATGTGGCCTCCACTTGGACCAGCTGTGGTTGCCACAGAGCTGTTGCTGGATGCACTGCTGATATTGTGGCTGCTGTTTCTCTTCCCTTTTTTACTTACGTGTTAGAGTCATTGATTGAATTAAAATAATTTAATATCTCAAATCGGTGATTGTATGTCATTTGGTTGTACTGTGGGGGATTTACTTTTGATTTTACTTAAATATAAGGGTTTTTTTGTTTGTTTCTTTGTTTAAGGCGGTTGGCAGCTTGCTAGGAAGAAGGAGGAATTTTTTTGTCAAGTTTCAGATCCCACAGTAATACACACAATTGTCTCTTTGTCATGAGGGTGTTAGAATAAGTGAATGTCAGGGATCCTCTTCCTCCGTCAGGGAGCAACGAAGCTGAGGCACATCCTTGAAATGGATTTTCATGTAAAACAATGTCTTTGTATCTTCCTAGCAGCATCTCCTATTTACTGAGTGCACACTGCCATACTCTGTGCTAAGTGTCTTGCAGACATTTTATTTTATGCTCAGAACAATCTGTTAGTTGGATCATCTTGTCCTCATTTTTTCTTAAATTGAAGAATAATTCACATACCATAAAATTCACCATTTTAAAGTATAACATTCTGTGGTTTTTAGTATATTCATAAGGTTGTGTATGGTTGTGTAACTATTAACATGATCAATTTTAGAACATTTTCATCTACCCCCAAAAGAAACCCAGTACCATTAATCAGTCACTCCCTATTTTCCCATCTCCCCCAGACCCTGGCAACTACCAATCTCCTTTCTGTCTCTGTGCGTTTGCTTACCTAGACATTTTAGATAAATGGAATCATGCAACATGTGGCCTATGGTGACCGGTTTCTTTCACTTTGCATGATGTTTTGAGGTTCATCTATGTTGTATCAGTACTTCATTCCTTTTTATGGCAAAATGTTCTTCCATTATAGGGAGATACCACATTTTGTTTATCCATTCCTCAGTAGAGCTATTTCTACTTTTTGGCTATCATGAATGATGCTCCTGTGAACATACACATTCAGATTTTTGCATAAGTTCTTGTTCTCATTTTATTGAAGGGGCCACTGAGGCTGGTGTTAAATAACTTGCCTGAGATTCCGTAGCAAGGAAGCCTCAGCCCAAGAAAAGCCTCAGTTTGGATCCTGAGGAAGAGAGCTCTTGGGCCCACGTTGCAGCCACCTCTTCCTTTTTAGATTTCTGGGTCTTGTGTAGAGAGTGTCTTGATGTTTGATGTGGTAGCCACTGGCTGGGGGGCCAGAAGCTCAGCTTTGTTCTCTGAGGCAGACAGATACTCTGCAGTCACGTCGTTTACTGGAGAGGATGGGACCTCTGCAGCAGGTCAGTGAGAAAGCACCTTGAGATTCTGGATTCCCAGTGTGCAGCATTTGTTGTTGGGGTGCACTCTGCAGTAGCCCCTCTGAGCTTGGCCTAGATGGGATTTCAGCTCCATTCAACCTTTGCCCCAATCAGGACTGCTCTCCATGGACCCAGACTTCTTGGCACTTGCGGGAAAATGTTCCCCATGGGTAGCTGGATGTTAGGGATGTTATTTTCTTTAAACTGAGGATATTTGTAAGAAGTTATAAGTGTTTGTGTAAAAATATCACACAACATAAAGTTCTATAAAATAAGAAGTAAAAGAAACAATTCCCCTAAACCCATGGCTACGTTCAAGCTAAATGGTCTCTCCAGGTTCCCAGAAGATGCCGTGCCCATTTCCCCCTTATCCTGAGTGTCTTTCTGCCCTTCTGTCTAACTACCTGCTTGGGCCCAGTATAAGTGCCATTGTGGTGGAACTTTCTGGACTCCTGCAGTTTTCAGTGAGCTCTTCCTCCTCTACCTTTTCTCTCCAGGTAGCATGATCTAGGGAAAGGCTGGGAAAGGCTGCTCTAGACATCGAGAGTTAAACACTAGCAAAATCCCTGAAAGTAGTTGTCTCTAGGGAAGCGGATTTGTCAGGAGGGAGTAGGGCCTGGGCTCCTATTTGTCTCAAATCTTCTAGAGTTAGTTAGCTCTGTAAATGTTATGCACAAGTAATTGTTAAAATCCAGCTTAATTGTGTGCGGTGGTACATCGGTGCCAAGTTGTTGCCGGTCCTTGATGACTGGTGGTTTTGCTCGCTCTCTGCATCCTGCTCCTCTGGCTTTGAGGATCAGGTGGCATTTCAGAGACTGGCAGTCTGAGTCGCAGAGGCCCAGCTGTTTACAGTTTTGCTTCTTACGCCAGAATGGTAACTCCCAGCACTTAGCTCGTAAATATACCTGGAAGTGCTGGGAATTTGATCTTCTGGAAGGGGTACTGGCTCTGCCCAGCTGGCCCAGGTCTAAGTTCTCCTTTTCATGTTCCAGAAAAATTTGTTTTCTCTCTATCAGCCTCCTGAATGAGAGCCCATCTTGCTTGGGTCCTCTGTTCTGATGCCCTCACACAATCTCACATCTTAACCTATTAAACTGAGCTCTCTCGCGGTAGGGCAGCCTGGGTTTGAATTGCAACTTTTCTATTTACCCACTATGCCTCGGTTTCCACAATGATAAAACAGGATGAATATAATAGTACCTACTTCATGGTGTTGTTAAATTAGGTAAGCTTTGTCAATGCTTGAAAATGTCTCCAGCACATGGGAAGTACCGTACGAGGGTGGGCTGTGGTTATATTGCTTTTTTTTAGGACCATCCTCTGACCATGGCAGGAAGAGTAAGTGCAGTGCAGTGTAGACTGATGTGGTGCCATAGAAAGACCATGGCTTTGGAGTTGTACTACTCTGGTTCAAATCCCTGTACTCATGGGTATGGGGAGCCAACTTCACTGATCCTTAGATCTCCCCATCGTAAGTGCATGTTCTAAGGCATGACAATTCAGAAACATTTGGCTGCAGCTTGCAGCCTCTCCTCTTTGACATAGAGCCTTTCTGTGAGTCCATGACATAGTATCATGGACTCACAGAATGTCTAGCTTGGTCGAGACCCCAAAATCCCATAACCCTAACCCACACTTACATAAGTGGAGACAAGGCCCTGGAGAAATTGTTTTCCTGAGGCCTGATGGCTGGGATGAGGGCGTGGGCCTCCTGAGCCCAGCCCAGGACTGTTTCACACTGAGAGTCACCTGTGCTTCTTTTAGAGCCAGAAACATAAACGAGACAAGAGAGAAGGATGAAGAGATAGTGGCTCTGTCTTGAAATAGCCTGGTCTGAGGGGAAGTGGGAGGTACACAGGGCAAAATAACATGAGTAAGTCAACCTAAAGTCTGTACACAGGCATGTACCAGCCAGCACGAAATGGGAGTTACTAGCGTCATCAGCCAGGGCCAAGTAACCGTAGCTGGAGGGAGGCCTAGTCTATGCCAATTATTCTTAAACTCAAATGGGCATCAGTGTTGGAGGGCTTGTTAATACACAGATGGTAGGCCCCACCCTAGAGCTTCTGATTCTGTAGGTCGGGGGTGGGGCCTGAGAATGTGCATTACTAACAAGTTCTGGGGTGATGCTGATGCTGTGGGTCTAGGGATCCCACTTTGAGAACCACTGAGTTGGTTCTCAGCCCTTGCTCCTGAGAGTGATTCTTGAGCCTGCCTGGCAGAAATGCAGTGTCTCAGGCCCAGCCCCAGACCTGCAGCAGAATCCTCATTCTAGCAGGATTCCCAAGGATTCTTACTAAGAAATTTGGAAAACATGGGCTAAATGACTTCCAGTTTCCTTCTTACCCTGAGATTCTGTGAAAAAAGACATTTGTGAAAAAAGACATTTTGTGAAAAAATGTCCTTCTGGGTGGGACCAGGTCACACTGGCTACAGACTCCTCTCTCAGCCTTAGGAGCTTTGCTTCTCGACCAGGCCACAGAGGCCAAGCACCCACCAGCCTGAGCTCGTGATACTTCCTTTCTACGACTTGGTTCATAGGGGCTCTGTGATCCTCCTGGCTTGCCCGTGCTGGGCCCTGTCGCCAGGCCTCATCAGAGTTCTGTGTTTCTAAGAAACAATGCAAGCTTGATCCATCTCTCCTGACTTCCCAGAGAAACGTCTGTTTACTTCGTGGATTGTGCTTATTTTGCCCTGGTTCTGCTCACCAGTTACTTTTCATCAAACATTCATTAGAATTAACGAGATAACCTTTAATGAGGGGCCCATGCATTGAATCAAAAGCTTCTTCATTAACATTGCATACTGTCTTAATTAGAGGTTTGGGGAGATGCAGTTTGGTCTTGTTGTAATGATAATTATAACTACAATAATTATGCCTGTGTTTATTACAGTGACTTCTCCAAGGATCTCTGTTTTCTACTGCAGCTCAGGTGTCAGCAGCTGGAGGTGTTGAGGAAAGTTGTGCTTGAATCTAGCTGCTGTCCAGATGTTGGTGTTGCCCTGGTCACTGGTACCTGCAAGCCCCTGTTGGGATCTGTGGGCATGCATGCACCACCAAGTAGCACGAAATGATTCGAGTGCCAGAGCCTTCCTCTCTGAGGACTCTAGGAGCAAGGGCGAGGCTCTGGGAAATTGGAGGAGAATGCAGGGGTTGCAGGTAGAGTCCCAGAGGGATGAAAATTCTCTGGGCCTTGACTCATGCAGTGGCCCACCCCTGGGTTGCCTTCCCTCTTTCCTCTCTGACTCCAGCAATCTCTCATTCATCAGTATCCAGTCTGAATCCAGGGTGACCAACTGTCCTGAGTAGTTTGGGACTGAGAGAAGTCCCCCAGGATGTGAGACTTTTCAGTGCTAAAATTAGGAATGTCCTAGATAAACCAGGACAAGTAGGTCACCCTCCTGGAATCTTTGCATTCAGATTCTTTGTGCTCCATCATTTTACCAAAATGATCTTAGACAATTTTCCTATTAACACGGGCCTCATTTTTTTTTCATGTGAAGGTAACTCATGGTTCTTATGGGAATTAAATGGATTAATGTATAAAAAGTGCCTAGCACCGTGCCTGGCACATGGTAAATACTCGGTGATGTTAGCTATGCTTGTTTTATTGAGTTGAGTGAGACCTTTGAGATCACATGGCCTCTATCTGGTTTAGGGATCCTCTCTGTGGTGACCCTGTTTGATCACACCCCATGATGCTGCACTCACTTCCTCACATCGGAGCCTTTTCTTTTTGACTGGTAAACTATTCCCTGTCCTGTCAGCTCCGAGGACCCATAAAGAATGGGACCCTCTTCTTGATGACATCCCATAGTTCCTTGAAGACGATGTCTGTCTCCAGCCTGGGTCTTCTCTTCCCTGGGTGGAATGCTCCCTCCCTTAGTGGGACCTGGCCCCCAGCCACACCCTGGCTGTGTCCTTGGAAACAGTACTACTGTCCGCATAGGCCCTAGGGCCCAGCATTGAATTTGGCTCAGCTCAGGAGGCTTTTCTCTATCGCAAACGAGTATAGTGGGTATAGATGGTATTCTTTCTTCTAGACCTAGAGAGGAGTTTCCTGAGAACAGAAGGTGACTGGCTACCAGGCCTCTCTCCCCCAAAATCATGGGCTCTGAACTGGAAAGACCTACTGGAGTTCGGAGCCAAGGCCCTGGTTTTTCATCGAAGTACTATAGCCTAAACTCTCCTTTCTCTGGTCCAACCTGGAGGCCGGCACCTGGGCACATTCTTGACTCAGGGGGCAGGACAGCAGGTGATTAGGACCCCTGGCTTCCTGCTCATCCTAATCTGCATCCAAATCTTACTCCTCTGTTTTCAGCTGCATGACCTTGGGCAAGTCATTTAATTGTAGTTTCCTCATGTGTTCAGAGGGGATAGTTCTTACAACCCGGCGCATATGAAATAGAAAGTGATACTTTTTATTTTTTTCTGTAAGTGGTACTTTTTATGGTTATTATTATTCCCACCTCCTCAGGGACTGGACATGAAGTATTTTTTCCTTGTGCACAGATGGGAAAATGACTGGACAAAGTTAAGATTTGTTCCAGCATGTCTGGGGACCTGGATTTCCATATTCTTGTCTTAGGGACCATGGAGAACTGTTCTTGAGATCATAGGCCTCTCAGCAAGACTTGGAGTTCACGTGCTAGTGCTGTGGCCTAGATTACGGGCAAGGGTGTTTGCATCACATCTCGTGTAAGAGGTCATATAAATGTTAAATTCTGTTTACTTCTGATTTTTTTGTTTGATTTCAAAAAGGTGTAATTCTATCTAGAGTTTATTTTGATCTTTAGGTTAATTGAGAGTTTCTCTTTTTTTTGTTTTCCCAAAATTGTTAATTGGTTATTCTAAATCAATTATTAATCCTTCCCTTCCCCAATTTATTTGTGAGGCCTCCTTTAGCATTTATTAAATTATTGCATATTATTTATGGACTAAATTTTATGGGCCGTATAGTTTCTTTCTGTGATCTGTTTTCTCCATTGTCCTCTGTTTTAATTATTGTAGCCTCATAATATTGGTTATCACCCTACCTTTTTCTCTTTTAGAGATCATACTTGCTTATTCTTCCAGTTGAAATCTAAAACTATTTCATGAAGTTAAAAAACACTTTTTAGGATTTGAGTAGGAATTACATTAGCAATCTATAAATCGATTTCTTTAAAAATTAACATTATTTTAATATTTTGCCTTGTCATCAAAGAACATGTTACAGCTTCACATACAGATTCATTTTTAAACACATCTTTATGAACTTTTCTACTTAATGTTGTTCAGGTACATTTTTCATTTTGACCTCTCTCTATATTTTATGTTATTATTGCTGTTCGGAATAGGATCCTTAAGAACTATATTTTTATTGCTGGCATGTAGGAATATTGTTGAATTTTACGTGTTTATTTGGATCAGCCACTTTGCTGAGATCTTTTTAACTTGTACTATCAGATAACTTTGGGGTTTTGAGGGTTGTGCAGTCATTTCATATGCACATAATAATCATTTTGCCTATTTCTAATGTTTATGTTTTCTCTTTCTTTGGCCAGAACTTCTAAGACCGTATTCAGGGATGCCAGTGATGGAAGGCATCTTCTTTTGCTCTTTGTTTCAGAAGGAAAGTTTTTGACATTTTCTTTGATGTTGCTCCTAGCTTGTAGATCTGTTGCTTCCACCCGAAGGGGCTGATGTGATTTACAGCCACAACAAAGATCCCTTTTTAGCTCTTCATGCTTCTGGCACAATGCACTAGGGGACTCGTTTGGAAGTGTTTGCTCTTTCTAGAATCCTCAGCCTGCCCCAAACTTGGTGCCTACAGAGCTGGTCCAGTTTCAGCCCTGATCTCTACTGAAAGCCTGACTTCTGGAGATTGGTTCCCGCTATAGGACTTCGCACTCTCTTCTGCCAACCCCACCTGCTGATATGAGAGTGGGAGGTGCCTGATGTTGGACAGCAGGAGGGCTGGGGTCACCTAGCACAACCCTGGACCAGAGGAGGCAGTAAATATATTTCCTCATAGGGTACCCTATGGAGGACCCCTATAGACCCTCAGTCATCTGAACTTTTGTCCTTAACCCTTTCCTGGAACCAGCTCGGCGAGGTTACCAATACTCCTGCCCTGCTGGGAGCTGCTAGACCTCTGCTGGCACTGTGCTCTGGGGGTCTTCGCAGTCTGGTGGGAAAGCAGACACAAAAAGGGGTTAATATAATACAGGGTGAAGAGGTTTCATTCATACTATATAAGACTCAGAGGCTACAGCAACTAACGACTTAACAGCAGTCAGAGGAGCCTTATTGGAGGAGGTGACATTTGAGCTGGTCTTGGAGCAACAATAGAAATTCTATGAGGCAGATGAGGGAGAAGGGCTTTGATTCTGATTATTTCTATAGACTTTGCATTATTATTGCTGTTCAGAATAGGATCTTTATAAACTCTTTTCTTGCCGGCATATAGGAATATTATTGATTTTTTGCATATTTAATTTGGAACAGTCTTCAAAGGTTTAGAGGCCTGGAGTAGGGGGAAGGTTGACTTCTTTGGGGGAAAAGGCAAAAGAGTTTGCTGAGAGAGAGATGGGGCAGTTCTGTCTGAGTCGGTGAGCGCTCCTAGAGTTCAGGGGTTGGTGAGCAATCATCAATAATAGGGGTACGCAGAAAGGGAAAAGTAAAACAACATCTGTAGCATTC